TAAAGAGAACTGGATACAGCGTTGAAGGCGGGGTCCCACTTAGGGATGCATGATAATATCGGCACATCATCGGTATTGGCTGATATTGGCCAACTTGCTTTTTCTTAATTTGCACAATGAGTGAAGATTACATACATTGAAAAGTACTGTATTTCATGTCTCCAGTTGTTGGGGGGCCATCATGCTTTCAGTTTGCATGCATCTATTATGTTAATTTGACTACAGAAGAGACTTGACTTGGGAAAAAGTTGATATATTGGTCGTTATCGGTCAAATGAGTTGTTACATATCGGCATATCATCGGTAAAAATCCAGTATCATACATCCCTAGTCCCACCCATTCCAATGACAGTTGCTGAGGCACACATGAAGCAAAACAAGTACAACTTTCTGGGTATATAATTCCTCAATTCTTCCACATCAGGGGTATAACATGCGTCTCTTCTAGACTTTCTTAATGTTACTGGACTGAATGGATCAAATTCTGATCATAAAACGAGTCATTTTGGGGGGGTTGTGATGCTCAAAAAATGTATCCACTGATTTTCATAAGTCTCTTTCACAATGTAAGTCTATGGAAAAAACTTTTTGGGCCCAACAGCATCATGTGACGAACCTGGGAGCTGTAATTCCATGGTTTGGCCACTATGTGAAAGTGGCCTCAAAGCCTGGTGTTGCTCTTGAAGGCTTGGAGAGAACTGTCATTGGAATCATCACTTATGCAGCAGAAGACATCCTGTCCAAACTGCTCATTTTTAAATAGCCAGGCTGCCATCAGTAGTGACCGCAATATTCACTTGACCCAGATTTTAAAAAATTGGCAGCTTGCAAAACTACTCCGTACTCTACGCTGTACAACTGGCTAAATGCAGACATTTCTCTGTTTGGTTGCCAACGAAAGGATTCAGTGAGTGTTGAAGATGATGTCATGGCAGTTTCACACAGTATCTCTATGGTGATCAGCTGAGAATCCCACCTACACCGAGAGGGTATTATCTGCAGTGGAAAACAAAATAGCGAAAAAGGACCTGGTACCAAAAGTGAGTTGACTCAGGTTGAGCTCAACATTGCAGTTGGAAATGAGGCATAAGTTAGTAGGCTCATTTTGGTATCACTTTCACTCTGAGTAGAGGCTCAGTATGACCAGTTTCTACCCAGTCCCACTCGCTGACGATCTCTGATGGTCAGAGCTGAGTAAAGGGCACTTCTGCCTGCAGTTTGCTGGTTGTAAAGAATGTTACTCGTCCTCATTTGTCACTGACAGTCCGAGATTAGGATGGATGACCTTCCGGTTATCAGCCCATTTCCCATATCTAAACTGGTGAAAACAGATCCATCCCAGTGCCCAGCCTGCCAGGCCAGGAGAACGTCATCAACACACACAGACAGAAACATCATCCATTTTCTGGCATACATGCAAAGACTAAAACACAAAAGCTGCACATACACAAACACACACACACACACACACACACACAGACATATAAGAACACAAAACCTGACACACACAAATGCGGCTGTCCAGAGTCATAAAGCCGCACGGTGATTGGGTGGACAAGACAAGTGCTGTCAGCTCTACTGCCAGTCGCTGACACAACACAGAGCAGTCGACCGGATATAGACCCTCAGCTCACACACTGCCAGGCGGAGGCCTACAGCGGGCTTAACATGTCTCGCTCATACAATGAAACAACAGAACAGACAACAAACAGTGTGCATGTGCTGCTGATATTGTCATTCTTCCACCCTTTTTCATGTTCGCACCAGCGCAAACGAAACACACCGATAGTCTTCATCTCTTTCATAGTGATTATTAAAAGCCACGATATGTAATTACGGCCCATATTCCTCTGATTGTTCATTTGATGCTTTCGTTTCTATAGTTAGAGATTAATGTGAAAGTAAAAGTGAATCAACCTAAAATGGCAAAACAAGAGCTCAGACTGTTGGCACTGCACAAAAACACATCTTTCCTGACACGTGTCTTGAGCTTGCACCTATTGCCCTTAGGACTTGAAATCACTTTGGCTCCTTTTAAACATCAACACTCATCTCCACACCTGGGCTGAGGTGGCAAATGGATAAGATGTCTTGCTTAAAAGTCCAGTGTGTAGGATTTGGGGGATATAGTCACAAAAATGGAATATAATATACTAAACTATGTCTTCTTCAGTGTACAATCACCTGAAAGTAAGATTCGCTGTGTTTTCGTTACCTTAGAATGAGACTTATATCTACATAGAGAGTGGGTCCTCCTTTATGGAGGTCGCCATGTTGTTGTCATGTTTCTACAGTAGTCCAGAATGGACAATCGAAACACTGGCTCTAGCTAGGGCCATTTGTGTTTTTGCTTTGGCCACCATAGTAAGAAACCCCTATACGACAAGCAGCATCGGAAAAACACTGATTTGTGACGTGAAAGTGCTTTAATCAGTACTTTTACTGGTTTAAATCGCCGGATCCATTTGTTTTAAAGAGGAAGAGACCCCTGCAGATAATCCGTCTCGCAGTGAAAACCTCCTGAACGTCTGGATTAGAGCCACCTGCCTCAAATGTGCCAGACAGACAGATCTGTTTGTTTTGGAGAGAAACAGACCTCTGCAGAAAATTCGGCTCCCATTAAAAACCTCCTGAACGTCTGAATTTTAAGTTATCAGAGAAAAAAGGTGAGCACAGATTAGCAAGTGCTAGGCGAGAGGCCTATCTTTGACATGCCAAACAGCGTTGAAGAAACTCTGATTTGTGCAAACATCTAATCAAAGAAAAAGGGCGAGCACACAATAGCATGTGGTGGGCAAGCCACATGTCTCCAACGTGCCAAACAGCATTGGAAAAACACCAATGTGTGACATCAAACTGATATAATCAGCATTTTTAACTAGTTTAAATAATGAATCTGTTTGATTTGGGGAGGAAGAGACCTCTGCGGATAATTCGGCTATCCGTGAAAAAAGTTTGCAGAGAAAAAAGGTGAGCACAGATTAGCAAGTGCTAGGCTAGAGGCCCATCTTTGACATGCCAAACAGTGTTGAAGAAACTGTGGTTTGTTCATGAAACTGCTTTATTCAGTGTTTTTACTTGTTTAAATCACAAGGTCTGTTTGTTTTGGAGAGGAAGAGACCTCTGCAGAAAATTCGGCTTTCACTAAAAACCTCCTGAATTTCTGGATTTTAAATTATCAGAGAAAAAAAGGTGAGCACAGATTAGCAAGTGCTAGGCTAGAGGCCCATCACTGTATTTTTAACAGTTCAAATCACCGGATCAGTTTGTTTTGGAGAGAAAGAGACATCTGCAGATAATTCGGCTTCCGGTAAAAACCTCCTGAATGTCTGGGTTAGAAGTGAGGTGAGCACACATTAAGTTATCAGAGAAAAAGTGTAAGCTCACATTAGCATGTTGCGGGCAAGACACCTGTCTCCACTGTGCCAAACAGCATTGGAAAAACACTGATTTGTAAGGTGAAACTGCTTTATTCCGTGTTTTGACCCTTTTTAATAACCTGCTCTGTTTGTTTTGGCGAGGAAGAGACCTCTACGGATAATTCGGCTCCTGGTGAAAACCTCCCAAACAATGAACTGTTAAGGAATTCTAACCAGGAGAAGTGTCAGCTGGTTGCAATCTGCAGTCACAGCTTGTTAAATCCCCCCTTTATCTTACTCACTGGACCTTTAAAATCACCTCAGAAGAAACTGTCATGGAGTCAGTGAAACAGGTGTCACTGTGGTCGTTCAGATAAATAAAGCAAAGATCTGACGCCCTGTGTGTTCTGCGAGGACCCACATGAATTCTCTAGGAACTATAATGGGTGTGTTATGTTTACAGACTCGGTGCTGTCATCACTAACTCGCTGGTCTTTGTCAACAGAGATGTTGTCCGCAACAGTGACGCCTGTTCTCAGGGCAGAAACCCAACAGAGAAACAATGGACACAAGACCAAACAAAAACACAATCTTTTGTCTGGTGTCACCTGCTGCGATCAAACATGCTCGCAAAAAAAAAAAAAAAAAGTCAGAGTAAAATCAGGAGTTGTTGTTGTTCTATTCAGAGACTGGAATAACAACAGAAGGAGAGCACTGTACACACAAGCCTACGTGATACTCTGAGAGGACACAGGGAGCCAGGCTCTATCACCAGTGGCAACCTGAGCTGGTATTAATTGCAGCTCAGGCAGTTATATTAAGGATGCACACACTCATTCTCTGCTATCCTAAAAAAAAAAAAAAACCGAGCCTGGTTCCACTGCACGGTGTGAATTCCAGACAGGAGTATGTAATGGCCAAGGTTTTTGCAGCTCATGCGCGCCATGTTGGAGCAGACTGCTCACATCACAACACACCATAGACTACCCTGTTACTCTCCTCTCCTCTCCTCCTCAGCCTGTAGCCAGGCAGCATCTCTCTGCCGTGCACTGACGGCTGGCGCCACTGGAAATTCACCGTCGAGGGTAGAAAAACACAGACATGCTGAAACACTCTCCTCAGCACACAGATCGATATGACATGATGGATCATGAAAGGCATTCGTGAACATGTCGTCCCGTTACACCTGTCGGCCTATCGTGGCTTTAAAGTACAGGACAGTAACGCGGGCCTTTGGGTGCCTCATAAAAAGCTTGTTGACATGACATGATCATGCAGCTGTTTTTTTCTCACACCTCTCCAAACCAGCCTGGCTTCACTGTGCGCCTGTTATTTCTAATGAGCATTTGTGTCCCTTTAAGGATGCTGCGCCCTGGTGATTACTAGTTGTAACCTTAACGCAGCGACCGTGTTTACAGAGAGGAATCTCGCCACTCAGCTGCAGAAACACAACACCTATATAAATTAAAATTGCCTCCATCTCCTTCATCATCTCCATCTCCATCTCCTCTGTCCCGCTCTGTCATCCCTAAAGGATGCTGCCCGAGCTGGAAGCTTAAATATTGCGCCGCTGGACAAACCACCAAAAGCAGGTCAGCCACAGGAACACACAACCACCGCACTCTGTAAATCACGACTTACTCAGTTGCAGATCCCTTTCCCGCCACGGACGTCTTCCAAACAGGGTGTCTTCTTGTTTATTTCTGAGCCGAATACTCTAACACCCCCCTTTCCTCTCCTCCTCCTCCTCTTCCTCCTCCTCCTCCTCTTCTTCTTCTTGTGGCTGGCACCCTTTCTGTTATTGCTGAGGTGATGCCACGGGCAGCCCGAGCGCGCACAGTAATGGCAATAACGATAAGACCCCGATGGATGGCGAGAAAAGACGCACGACGGGCTCGCCCTGCGTGGAAATCTCCTGGGCGTCGGGGCGTCGTCTGAAGCAGGTTGGTGTGTAGTTAGTGCACGGGTGAGAGGGAGAGTCAGAGTGGTATGTGGAGGGGAGTGGGAGAGGGGAAAAGGATACGCCTCCCTGCCTTGTAGAGATAAAGGGGGCCCTGGCTGCGCGCGTTGACGGAGATATGGGTCCTCCTCTCCAAACGGGGGCCCTGCTGGCTCTGCTCCAGCCTTATCATATGACGTCCGAGGAACCAGGCTGTCTGCTTCAGGGCTGCAGAGGAGCGGTGTACGTGCAGCCTTAAAAAAAACTGGGAGCAAATCCAGTTCTGCCGCCAGAGGAGAAAGGACCGTTCTTTCAGGGGTGGTATTTTTTTTCTGCTCCACTTCTCCATCTAGCGGCGGGAAGGCTCCATGTCAAGACTTCTCAAGATGTGTCTTCATTCTGTTACATAAATAACCTCAGGCTGTGAGACTGACTGGCTGCTCAGCCTGGAGCAGTGATTTGGAGCTGGGCTTTTTCGATTTTATGTGTTTCTCTTTTTTTTTTTTAAATAAATGAGTCAAAAATAAATTAATCACAGTGATAGAAAATGTTAACACATCCAAACTATTTTGGAGCCGCCTGTTATTGTCTGACCCAAATTATTCTGTCACATCTGCATCCTCACATCAACCAAAATATGTTGCACCTGCACCAAACATCCAGCAGGTGGTGCTCCTGTTCCAGACATACTCCCACGTCATTCCAGGTTTCTGTCTGTTAATTCACTGTTGATAGTTTGTCCAAGAAATAGTCTTATTATAGTTTAATTAACATCTAATAGGGTACTTTTTATATGTGTAAAATGACATGAATCATGGGGCATTATAACCTCCATGAAGGTTGGGTTTATTGAATGACAAATGAGCGCATATACTGCATTAAAGGACCAAAACTAACACCCTCCTGAGACCTGAAGTTTTGTTTGGTATACATTTTTAATTTCTACTAGCTAGTTGGGATCAGTAGGACATGATAAGTATAAAAAAACTAAACATTGTCAACAACAATAGAGTCCCATTGTCTTCAAACGTGACAAAGTCCCAATGTTTTCAAAGAGAACTTCCTAATTAACAGCGTCTTATCTTGTCACTGTTGCTAAAATTGGTCAAATCTGTTGCCATATCAAACCACAGATGTTTTTTTAGCTCAGATAACTAAGTTTCAAACTCAAAATATGATCAGGTTTTGGACCTTGTCCACATTTGTGTAGGGATCGGCTGCAGACTGACTCTTCTTTATCTTGTTTTTACATGTATTAGTGTAATGCAGTCTTACCACCACTAGATGGCATAATAAGAGTCCACAAACGAGGACAACAGGTCTAAGTTAAAGCTCCAGTAAGCAACATTGTTTTGGTATAATTGAGTAAAAATTTTATAATATCCTCTAAGCATAATGTAAATCAAGTGGTCTGAGACAAACAATAGGTTTGTCTCAGACCACTCCGGAGCCCTGGAGGGAGGGGAAGGGTGAGGTGGGGCTGGGCCCTGGTGCGGGGCCGCGAGGGAGGGATGGGGAGGGCTACTGCACGGTGAGGGAGATCCGAGGCTCCCAGAGAAGGAGAAATAGAACCAGGGAGGATAAAATACTCGCGTGCTCGTCTGGTATGAGGGGCTCAGGGCAGAGACGAACGAGACCTAACTCAGATGAGACTCAAAAATCAACTGTTTTCAGGCTTTCTACCTACTGCAACTTTAAGTAGAATGAAGTATAAGGTCAAGTAAACCCAAATGTGATGTCCTCATATGAGGACACAGGGTCTCAGGAGGATATTATGTTACAAATCTTTGGAAGTACTTTTATGGTTTTCTGACATGAACATTTAACATTAATTGTTTCTGCAAGATTTTGCAAATGTATTTATGCACTGTGCAGTACATTTGATGTCTCAGGTGCATATTCCTTTCAGTTAATGATTACTCAAAACAATAGGTGGATTATGAGACAAAGGGCCCCTAGGCACAAAAGGCCCCACCACCTCTCCTACATAGGAGCAAGACACAAGTTTGCATGACATTTTGCCAGAGGGTCAGAGGGGCCCTGACACTTTGGGCCTCTAGACCTGTGCCTGGTAGGCCCATATAGTAATCATCGATATTAAAAACCTTTGGAAACCTGGGTTTAAAGGGATAGTTCAGATTTTTTGAATTGGTGTTTTACGAGGTACTTAACCATAGTCAGTGTATTATGGCCGGAGTGCAGAGACAGGTGCTCAGCAATGTGCTGCTGTGGATGGGGTCAGCTTCAAAAT